CGGGGGGGAGAGAGAGAGAGAGAGGAACTTACGACCCAGAAGGGCAACCCGGAGACGGTCTGGGTGACGGCGAGCCAGAGAACGCCGAAGCCGAGAAAGCAGCAGGCGGCGCCGGCGAGCAGCACGACCCAGGGCCGGAAGCGACTGCTGGCGAAGCCAGCGACCAGGCCGAAGTTCTCGCCGATGTCGTTGGCCACGCCGAGCATAGTGAGCTGCTGCTGGCTATAGCCCAGCACGGATTTGAGGGACGGCGAGTAGAGGGGGAAGGTGTAGGCAGTTCCGGCAGCCACCTGCACCCACACCGCCGCCGCCAACCCCACCCATGGCGGCCGGCTTCCGGCCTTCACTTCTCCCATCTTCCCCCACTTCTTCTACCTCCCTTTCTTCCTCCTCCTGCTCGCCAGATCAGAATATATATATATATATATATAACAGAAAAGCGAGAAATGGATTGTTTGAATGCTTAAGATCAAAAACTATATAAGATAATATTTCTAATATTAAAGTATATATGTCAGAGATCTGGCAGATGATGTCCATCACGTATTCCCTTCTATTTTATTTATCTTAGAAGCTTATTATTATTATTATTATTATTATTATTATTATTATTATTATTATTATATATATATATATATATATATATATAATTCAATAGTCTTATTTAAAGCATTGGGTTAGTGTTAATAATATTGCCTAGCTGAAGATAGTTGTGTTCTCAAGCACTAATTGCACTACATAATGACATGTAGTTGCATGTCAAAATTATTATATAAAGATTAGAAAAAATAAATAAATATTCAATCATAATTTTCGTTATTTAGTAGCACCAAGAAATGCTCATGGTGTTATGAATGGAGCTTTTGGGTGATTTGTATTATCATGAACTAGAAGATAGATATGCATCTCGAGATTATATTTCTACTAACTCATCTTTTCTTTTATAGATTTTATGAAATTTTGTGAAGTTATAGAGAGATTGATTTTTTATAAATGGACAGGCATGATACCATAAAAATTCAACTAAATCTTTATATCAAAAGAGTGTTTATATTTTGGTCCATGTTGTGATAAAGTAAAATCGATAGATTTTTTTTTTACCTACAAATATTCGTATTGGACGACATGAGGTCGACTCACGAGATATTACATGACTTAAGTAAAAATAAATAAATTAAATAATAAAAAGATATGGAAGGTTTAGAATTATTATCAACATATGTTTATTTTTATTGAGATATGCAATGGTTAAGGCATTGCTAAGTAGTTGATCTTTTATTGTACTAAAAAAATTAAAATAAAAAAAAGTAAAATATGTTCCTTATACTCAAGAGATTGTGATTTGATAAAATCATAATAGTTTATTTCAATTATGAACTTTATAAAGGCGGCCAATTGACATTATCATTCCACAATTTGGACAGAAGATATCAAGAAAAGATTTGACTATGGGAAAATAAATGCTGTGTTTTGCAATCTTTAAATCTGAAATCATTGGATAAATATATTGTCTTTAATCAAAGAGTTTTGTGCATGCAATATACAACAGCTTGTTTGATCTCTATATACTTAGTTAAATAGTTGACTGAGCATATAAAAGCAAAAGTCATACATTTTTTCTACAATGACAAAAAATTAAAGTCAAATAGTTCATTGTGGAGTGTATAATTGGTGGCTATCACTATTTTCCCAAAAACTTTGGTCAGATATATTTTCTTTAAAAGCTGGTAATATAGACAAATGGTTGACTGAGCATGTCAATTGTGCATAGATTATTCCACAAACTAAAATGTCAAATAATTTTCTTTAATTGCCAAAAGTCAAATAGTTTTCTTTGATTGAAATAGCTCATCATGGATAACATAATTAGTGATTATCATCATCTAAAAAGATAATATTATTTAAAATGATAAAGTGCCATATAAGCTCTCTCCTCTCCTAAATATATTTGATAGTGTCAAACAATACCATATTATGTTTCATATCACCTTTATGGATGTCTATAAGAGCAAAACTTTATTATGAATTTTCCATTTCATGAATTAAACAAACAATTACACAAGTAGGCTTAATTTGATTCATATCAACTCATTAGTTACATGTTCAACTCTCTATCTCCCTTGTTATGCATGCAACATATTGTGTTAGGCATGCAACATATTGTAATGCATAGCTGTTGTATTATAGGCAAAACTATAGCACATATTGTCAAAGATCACTTGTATAATACTAGAAAATTGGAGTCATAATTACTGAAAAAGGTCTGAGATTGAGCATTGGATCATTAATGATGGAAAGAATTTAAATGGAAAAAAATTAATCATCTACTGTGTTACATTCTTGATGGTTGGCAATTGAGTGATATTTGATAATCTTTACCATTGGATCACATAAAAATATGATATTATTGATACTAATTAATTATATCATTAATGATCATATATTAATTAGATCATATGTCGAATAACATAGATATAGATCAAATAATCTGATAACACAAAAGAACAGAAGAATTCCTCGAGATCACTAGCTTTCACTTGATCCTCTTTTCAATGAGCAACGATCAATTACTTTTATTATAATTATTTTCTATTTTAGGTTAAAGAGATAACCTTCATATTTTTCTTTTACACAAATCTTTCAATTTAACTTAAAATTGTAATCAAACTAAAAAAGAGAACTTAAACTATGCTCAAAATGAGAGTTTATAATATTTTTTTTACTCAGAAATAGACACTCTATCAACCGAGTGAACTATTTTTTGCTCAAAAATAAATGATCTATCAACCAAGCTTGAGTGAAATATTTATAGGCTCCAAAAAGCTTTAAGAATGAAATCAAAATTCTAAATCCTTAAAATTTTGAGATATAGGCAGGTTCTATCATTGGCATTACATGGCATTACCACCACAACCAGGTTATAAATATTGACTCTAGCATTACTACCACTGACCTAAGTGGTATTACTACCGGAATAGATGATGCCACCGTCGGAAAAACTAACAAAGACAAATAGTACTTATTGGTTGATCATGCAGTACTACTATTGGGCTTGGTGGTACCATTGCCCAGGCCTAATTTAGGCCATTAGTTTGATATTCTAATAGGCCCAATTCAATCATGTTTCAAGCCTAATGATTTTCTTGACAAGTTTGGCATGGTTTCGACCCAATATCAACTCAAATTGACCCACACTGACCTTGATCAAGACTTTGATAAATCAATCATACATATAACACATTTATAAAGCTTTTAGCACATTATACATTATTTCAATATGTCATCAGGTTTTTTGGCACTTCGTCTAAACCTACCACATATCGCTCGGTTACCAACATATTGACTTTCCCATAGTATTCAATATTCTAATGTAATATCTAATCCTTCTAATGCCAAGTTAGGTATGGTTTCGACCCAATACCAACTCAAATTGACCCATAGTGACCTTGATCAAGAATTTGATAAATCAATCATACATACAACACATTTATAAAGCTTTTAGCACATTATACATTATTTCAATATATCATCTGGTTTTTTGGCACTTCATCTAAACCTAAGACACATCGCTCAGTTACCAACATATTGACTTTTCCATGGTATTCAATATTCTAATGCAATATCTAATCCTTGTAATGCCCGAACTTTAACACGAAATCCGATTTTTGGTATTTCGACCTATCCTCCAACTTGACATCTAATTTTGACATAACAATTTCTCGATACAACATTCGACTCACTTGCATAACAGTTGGCCCTTCGATGGTCTAAGTCTATAATCGAAATATTTCCTATGTCACTTATTTAAAAAAATATATTAGTCAAATAAACTCATCAATTAGTTTCATTATCAAAATCAAGGATTTAATAGGTTTCATTATAAGTGTTTAGGATTCCAAAATATGTTATTAAATTAATAAGTGACTTATTAGTTATAGGGTCATTTTTCTAGAAAATACACATATTTTAGATTTTTTTAATATCCCTTTTTACTTTTTTTTAAATAATATTTTTAATTTAAAAATACTTAAAATACCCCTCAAAAGTTTTTCCATCAAATTTTGTCACCTATTTATTTATCAATTTTTAATTGTTATATTATTTTCATTGGCTCATTTATAATATTTTTTAATAGTACTTTATAGTATTGATGTACTAAAAATACTATAAATACCATTAAAAAATATTATAAGTGACATCATATTATACCTCTTTAGTTGTCATTATTCGTAAACTATTACAATATCATATTTCTATGTTTATAATTCATTTAATTGAGGTCAAAGTCCATTTAGATCATTTATAGTGTTTTCAATGGGGCTTATAGTATTTCTATTATGATGGTCAAAATAACTATAATAAGTTAATTTTTTATTTTTATTTGGGTGAAATCATTCTAAACTATTATAAATATCTATTTTAGCATAGTATGGTTTCTAGTGTGCTTTGATTTTATTTAACTTATTTATTATATTTACAAGTAGGCTTTATAGTATTTTTATTATAGTGGTTAAAATATTCTAACAATTCAAAATATTGTAACAAATCAAAACACTATAACAAGCGAGAAATTTTTTTAGGGATAATTTAAATATTTTTTTAATTAGGAATACTATTCATCAAAAAATAAAATAAGGTACCGATTTAGAAAAACCCAAAATATGAATATTTTTTTAAAAAAATTATTCTTAATTATAAAGACTTTGATTAACTAATTATAAATCTTAAAGTTTAATAAATTAAAAAGAGCTTAATATTTTTATCCTCAAAATAAGAGAGACTAAGGAACAAAATGTAAGATATTTAATCCCAAGAATGATATGATTGACCAAAAAAAAGACCCATGGCGTCATATCAACTCTTAAATCTTATAGCGGATAGGGTTCGGTCAAGGTTTGACTAGTCAACTGGATCATCTCACTTTAATTAATTATGGATCGAGCTATTTGCTTAGTCAACAGGTAAGACTAATCCAATTTGACTTTCTTTTCATGGTCTACTCGTAATTCAACATTGAAGCCACAGCTATACAACCCTCGAATATACGGATACGACAATACAATTCTAGAAGGAAGAAAAATGAAGTATGCATCTCGTCCGCACTACGACGTCCCAGTACGTGCGGGGCCCATCAAGTGGCAGCGAATGGGGTGTCGGGTAACGCAGACCCACCCGCTTCCCAGGGGGCGGATTCTTTTACCAAAATACCCCCACCGTCGCTTCCCGAGTGATGTGTGCTTCGAAACATCGACGGCTGCTGAACCGTTACTTCCCGCCAATCCCGTCGTAACCGAAGAAAAGGGCGAAGACTCGGTATCCACGCGTCGTCGGATCCGTTACTTCCCGCCACTCGCATTCGACGGCTGCTGAACTAACCCCACCGCTTCTCATCAATCGCCCCAAACGTTCTCTTTAATTACCTCTTGTACCCCTGATTCGCTTGCTATAAATACCGCGCCGGAGTTCAGCTGTGCCTGCCAAAGTAGGGAGTCGGTAGCTTTCTTCTCTCTATCTGAAAGAAATGACAACGCCTTCAAGAAGAACCAGCGGTCCGGTGCTCGCTTTCCGACCATCGATCTCTCCCCGAGCCGGCAGCGGTGCCTCCTTCGCCTCGTCGTCGTCCAGCATCACCGGTCGCTCCCGTAACTCCTTTTCCCAGCAACGATCCGCCCAACCTCCGGCCCCTCCCCTCCGTTTCTCCCTCGACCGATCCATCTCCTATGGCTGCTCCTTAAAGCGATCCCCAGCCGCTCCCGCCCGCCGCACCTGTCTCTGCTCCCCATCCACCCACCCTGGATCCTTCCGCTGCAGCCTCCACAAGGGCCTCGACCACCATAACCCCAGCCACGTCGTCGCCGCCGCTGCCGCTTCGCCCTCTAACAGGCTTAACGCTCGTAGGTCCGCGATGGCCAACTCACTGGTCCGGATCGGGGCCGTGGAGGGAGAGTGGGTGAAGCGCGCCCTCATCCGCCCCTCCTCCCATCAGCAGCGGAGGCGAACCAACTTCCAACCCCGCCCCACCCGCCTCTCCCGGATGTCCAAGGCCGTCCAACCCATAGATCTCGAATCAGGTTCGTAGAGAAAAGACAGCAGAAAAGAGATTTTTACACACGTTCTCCATCATCATCGCGAGATTCGCTGGCGACCGTCCGACCCGATCGGAAGCACATCGGAGCTTTGTTCTAGTCGTCTCTTACCAAGAAACGCATGGTGTGGGCGGCGAACTGATGAGACCGCCCGTATGCACATACTCTTTTGTGGAAACTGTACAAAGACATCGGAATTGATCCGACAACGCCTTCGAGAAAAAGAAAATTCAGTTAATATTTTCCAAAATAAACCCTCATCGATTTGTTTGCTTAAGTTTCTGAAGCAATTCCATTCGATCGCAAGTAACTGAGCGTGACGTCGGACTGGTTGTTATGCACTGCAGTTGAGGAGTAACGTTTTCGTCTGTTCCGTTCTGGGTGTCCTGTCTGCCTCCGTCGCCGTCAGTTTTAACCACGTCTGCTTCTGTCAAAGTATTCCTATTTTATTTTATTTATTTCTTTTTGTGTTCAATAATTGTCTATTGGTCATTTACCATCCATTGTTGCTTTGGTTGCAGGAGGAGCTGCTTGGAATTCGAATTGGGAACTCCTCCTCGATGGGTAAGAAAGCAAATCCTCATAAGTAATTAGCATTAAAAATTCAAATATAAAAATAATTGAATTAATTTGATAAATTATGTTTAACAGCTAGAGAGAAGATTAAAAACAATAAAAAAGACTTGTTAGGTGAATTAAAAGGTTTTAGTGGATGTTGGAATGAGATTGAAGAAGCTTGGAGATATATTGGAAGAGTAAAAGCAAGAAATGAGATCTGAACGAACCATTAGAAGATATATGACCTTGTAGCGAGGGAAAAGGAGAACTGGGAAAAGGACTGGCCAACTAAACTACTTACCTCACCATATTAATTTTGGTTGTTGCCTTTCGAGTCGTCAGGACTTTGACATTGGTCTTTGACCGAGTCAGATGACACTGCTGGAAACGGTCAAGATGACTTTCTTGATCTCCAGATACCTAAATAGTGATCAAGGCATGCATACTGCCTTCGATCTGATATCCAAGGGTTTTTGCGAATCACGAGGCATGATGGACAGTGCACCATGCTCAAGTAGTCAATATACTCGTCAATTTATCGATTTTATATTCTTGTATCTTAATTAATCACCGAGTTCTCTGAATCCGGGTTCAATTTAGATATTTTTCCTGTCCTATCAAACTTACCCAAAATCACATTAATTGGATCGATAGATGCATGACTTAAAAAATCAAAATTTGATTTGTCACTTTTGTCATTTATAATTGATATGACACCATCGGTTTCAATCTTTATCTGACTTAAATCTCCTTCGTAAAGCGAATCCAATTGGGATATTTATTTTCTTTTCATACTCATCCAAGACTAAAAAAAGAATAAACTCTGACTTGTCACCAGTACTATGGCAAGGTGTGAGAGTAGTGAGTAAGGAGGTTTTTTGGTGTTTTGGACGCAAAACAATTCCAACATTATCTTGGACATGAGTTGCACTGAACATATTAGTAGAAAACTTTGTCTATAAATATTTTAAGAGTTTTAATTATTTAATGATTTAGGATTAAGATTTAGATTTAGATTAGGTATTTTATGATTTAGGATTAAGATTTAGATTAGGTATTAATGCAAAAAAAATAGTCATTAGAAAATTAAGATTTATTCATATAAATACACCTTTGAGTGTTAAAGTTTTGGTGAGAATGAAAAACATAGAAGTATATACTTTGGGTGCCATTGAGTTATTTTTTATTATATTTAAAGAGGGTTTAAAAAAAAAGTTCGAGTTTATGCAAAAGGGTGTAGATTAACTCAAAGGTGTCCAAGGAATTTTGAGTAAAGATTAACTCAAGGAGTAAGTGATTTCTTTAATTAATTTTGTCATATAATAAAAAATTAATTTTCTCCATAAATATAAATGGTGACTTATCAAACTACATTAAATCTTATGTTAGTTTTCTGATATGTTTTTTATTTATTGATCTTTAAATTTTTTTATTTTGATTTTAAAGTTCATCTGTCCGTCTTCATCACTTTAAATATTAATTTTTTAATTTATTTATCATTGAGGTGAAGTGATGTGAGCTTTTACATGCCTCCTTTAAAACTTTGGAATCCAAATGAAAGATTGCCATATTTGAACACGTAAAATAAAATGAGGTTAAAAGATTAAAAATTAAAATGATATAATATTGGAAATGTATTCATGTGCATTACAAAAACAAAAAAATGAATTAAAGATTATTTATCAATGAAAGAACCTGAACCATCATATATTTTGTTTCATGATTAAATCGTTTCTAATAGCTTAAGCTTTTAGAATTATGATCATCGAATTTAAAACTTTTATCATGGTATTAAATCAAATTGTTCGTTGACTACGTCCAGATATTGTTTGCATAATTAAAACAAGAATAATTGGTCATTGATTTCATGATTGAACAAAAGAGTAAATTGGTAATTGAGATGCGAGTAAGCTTTATTAATATTTTAAATCATAAATGACTATAATATTTTGAAAAAAAATCATAAATGGGATTCTTCGTTGACGTATCCACTAAAAAAAGACTAATTTCTTATTGAGATATTTTCTTTTACATACATGTTGATAAGGAAAAAAAAATTCAAAAGCAAAAAATGTTCCACTTGGATCGATTTGGCTTAGTCTAAATTTGGGTTGATTCGATCCGACGTTGGATAGTCTGGTTGGCCTCAATCTGTAACATGGGTTAGTCGAGTTAATTTGGTTCGATCTAAGCTTATACTAATTTGACTTGGGCTCGAACTGATTCAACTTGACTTAGGTTGGATGTTGCTTCCGTCCGAATTGGGTTCAGAATGTATTATGATGTTTAGCACATAGTGCCCACCCAGGATGACTCGACCTCATAAAATTATGAAGGTTAAAGTTATATAGATTGCTTATATTTATGTCACTTGCACAAATGTTTTAAAAAAATCTCACATGTTGATATGCCTTTTTGTATAGTTTAAGAAATATCGTTAAAGGCTTCCTAGTAAAACGAAAAGAATCATGATCATCTTAAATAATTGATGAATGCATGGTTTATCAAGGATGAGTGTATATCAACTACTTGCTAGATCTCATGTTTGAACCTCATAAAATAGTCAATCAGGAACTCATCATCGTCTAGTCAAATAATTAAAAATATAGTTATAGATTTCTTGGAGTGTTAGATGTTTACTAGTGAAGCTTGAATTTTTTGGTAGTTGCCTAAATGATGTGATCGAATTTGAGATTGACAAAAGTGAGAGAAATATTCTTAGGCATTTTCTAATTGAGTAGTTGTAAGGACATTTGCATTATAAATACAATAATATACTTCAAGGGATTAGGATTTCTATCAAAGCTCTTCAAATTGAAAAAAATAAAAATTAGAAGGAATATATTTCTCTGCGTAAACAACAATAGACTAGTTTTGAAGCGCCATTTGGGAGGGCTATTTCATTTGTCCACTTCTTATAATTGTTTGTGTAAGATAGGACTTATCTTTTTAGTAGAGTATAGTTCAAATTCAGCTAGAGGCTGTTGATGTTTAATCAGATTGGGCTCGTAAGAAAGTGATTGTGGTATCTAAGGGTTTGTAACATTGGCTTTGGTTGAGATGATGATTGACCTGGAGTTCTTTTTGGTACTTGCAATTAGTTCTAGTTGAAGAACTTCTTGTGGTTGATAAGCATTAGGTTAGTTATGTATTACTACCAATTGTGTTAATTATCTTATAAAAGAGACGATAGTATGCATCATCCCGGTCAAGACTTAAACTTGTTGAGTGAGGCCAAAGAAAGACTCAATGAGAATAATAATTTATGATAGATTTTTTATTAAGAAAGAGAATTTATAGCTGCTTGGGATCCATTGTTGGTAGTATGGATTTAGCATCGCATTGGGTGCTTAAGGTAGAGGTCTCATGGCTTAGGCCAATAATTATAGGGAAAGTTGGGAAGGGGTCTTTTAGTCATCATATTCTTATGGGACCTCTTCTTCTCCTAGATATGATAGGATCAAATTTAGTTATCAACTTGTCTTGGCAAAATTGATTTCACCTAGCTTCTGTTTAGAGTATTATCACCTCTAAAAGAGTAGGATTATTAAGTGTTCAAGACTTGGATATAGGAAAAAAATTTTGAATGTGAGAAACACTTGTATCTCACATCCCTTGTCCCACTTTAGTTCGAAGACAAAAGATGATCATATCTCATATCTAATTCTTGTGAAAGATTACATTAGGATTTGTTCGATAAAACCTCTTTGCGTAGTATATATCCGTAAATATCTAAAACTTAAATTTAATTTTTTTTTATTTTTTATCATAAATTTGAAAAGGTTGATTAACGAGGGAATATTTTTTTAGATATTTTATTGATATAGGATGCCCAACACATGTTTTGTCCTCTTCACTAATTGACGTGGTATGTCCGCGGTTGATTTAGAATTAAGATTGACTAAAAATAATAATCATATCATACGTAAAGATCATCAAAGTTAAAAGAGAAAGATAAAGAGTTCCTTCCAAATTCTAGAACCATAAAAATTTAATCTTCCTAAAATTTATCATCAAAATATTTTTAATTATTTTTTTCTAATTTTGGGCCATGGAGTAGTAGAGTCGACTCATGCCTCTTTCCATCGTTAAATTATATTTAGAGTTCAAGAAATCTATCAAAAGTATAACAATAATTATTTTTATTATAATATAAATAGATATAAATATAAATATAATACAATCCCAAATTGAGTTTTTTTTTCCCCCTTTTCTCTTTTAGTTGTGAACTTCCCACCTATTTTTTTATTCATTGGTGTATATTTCGCTCATTTATGCATATTAAAATTTATAACTGTAGCATTTCTTTAGCATATTCATATATAATAATGAATACGAATAGGTCCTAATTTATAGCATCCAAATGTTTCTTCATTAAAATCACATGCCATGTTTGTTTTGGGGTTTCTTTCTTCTACGATGCTTCCAAGAGCGAGTTATAGCGTACGTACGTGTCCTAACGACCTTATGCGCTTGGAATCTCTTCTCGTAACGCCGTTCAACAGCTTCCGTTATCACAAGCTTCGAGCCGAAGGCACCCACGGGAGCGCCAATATTCGCGCCATAAGATCTCCCCGGTGTCTATTGTAGATCGGACGGTCAACACAGGACCGATCCTTCATCGGCCTCTTCCCTATAAATAGACGAGCTTCGATCCTTGATTCGACGGTGCTCGGCTTCATCCGCGTTCGGTTTCGGGGCGGTGAAGAGGCGAATAACCAGCCATGTCGATGCTCGATGCTTTCTTCAACAAGGGCTTCAGAGGAGCGAAATGGTATGCGATGAGCGCTCCGATCGCCATTCTTCTCATGTTTCACGGTTTCGTCGCATGAATCCCCTTTGTTTCTCCACCCCCACTCTCTGGAAGCGTCGATTCTTTCTGCAAATTCTTGTCGACGTTTCGCGATTCTTGATGAACCAGAAGCGTTTCTTGTTGCTGATATTGATTTGGTATTAATTTTCTTTTGTGGATTTCTGATGTTTCGATCTTCTTGATCGTGGTCATTTCGAGTTTTGTTCCTGTCGGAAAAATTGCATCTTATAAGGAAGAAGAGAGTGTTTTTTTGGCATTATTCTATCATATATTTATATATTGGGAATCGAAAAGTAAAAGTTGAGATTCTGGGATTTACGGAAGTAAATCAGTGGTCCTGACCATGACTATTTCTGTGATAAGCAAAACGCTGCTGAAGCTGACAATTCCGAGAATAAGGTTGCTGCGGAATAGACGGGAGAGTCAGCTGAAGCAGATGCGGAAGGATATTGCCAAGCTTCTTGAGGATGGTCAAGAAGCCACTGCCCGGATTCGGGTATGATGCTTTTTTCCTTCGGTTGTCGATCTACTGCTTTGATCAGCTGTATGCTTGTTGGAAGCGTCAAGCATTGAAAACGAACAATGTATTTTTTCTTGATGGAAAGGTGGAGCACATCATCCGGGAGGAGAATATGATGGCAGCGCAGGAGATCCTCGAGCTGTTCTGCGAGCTGATCGCTGTCCGCCTTCCCATAATAGAATCGCAAAGGTTTTGTTCATACCACTTCGTTTCGTTCCCTGATTGCAACATAATGCTTATCTTTTTTGCTAACAAGCATAAGGGCTGCTACTATAATGTTTTTGAAGCTTTTCTGTTTGTCATGGATTTGAACTGAGGAAACTGACAATGAATTGCTTCGAACAACAAGCCATAAAGTGCCAATTATTTTGGGGTTGCAAAATCCTCTCCTCTGAATGCATGCCACCATAATGACAAACACTTCTTTATTTTATGTATCTTGTTTGTCTGTGTTGTGTGATCCATGGGAGACCATTGGATATGCATTCGGATGGGCCATCCATCATCAGAGCTTATACATCGTATGTAAATTCCCATCTAAATCTCATGAGACACATCCCTCTCCTTTGCTACTCTTACTCTTCTGAGCTTTCCTCTTCTGATCCACTGGCTTTGAGACAAAGTAACCATTTACGTATAAGTTTTCACCTGTCCAAGTTGGCTCCAAGTTTTCCACTCCTTTGTCTAGGTCTAGGTAAATGCAGAAACATTAGTGTTGTTCATGGAAAAAGATTTTTAGATAGAATTAGTCGTGAGCAGTATTATGGCACAGCTTTCTTATTAACCTAGCTCTAGCATGATAATACAGTTGCACATTTTTTCAAGATTTATTCTCAGCACATGAAGTTGAAATTTTATATCTTTTGTTTCTTGTCAAGTAGTTTAATCTTAGTGACTATCAGTAAATTCGTATGTTTGTTATGGCAAAATAAAAATATTCAAAGGATAATTATATTTTCTTGAGAATTTAGTTGTTTGGAGGAAATGGCATTGGATTTAACAAATATATATTATTTGAAATATCTTAATCTTTCTGCAATGCTGCAGAGAACTGTTGGTCAATAAATCTTCATCTGGGTGGGGGAAAAACACATAAGACGGCATCTTCTTCCCTGATTTTCTTGCTTTATAAAATTATCTGTAAAAGCATAAGATATTTTAAGTATGGACCTAATTATAACAAGTAATCATTTACAACCAAATATTCTTGATTTTGTGTTGGGTGCCCGTGGGTTGCTTTATTTTAATCTCATAACCAAACATTCTTCCCCAATTGTGTTGGGTGTCCAGGAATAAGACTTTCAAGTTCCCTATCAAGCTTTCCGATTTCCCTAATCCGCAGCTTCATATAGTTTTGTGTTGGGTGCTTTATTTTAATCACTCAATTTTTAATTTTTTTTAACTGATCCTTTACAAGCATATTTTCCATTTTGAAAGAGGAAATTCATCTGTAAAAGCATACCCTTTTCGGTGCCTATTCTCGTCTCATCGCATGTTACAGTGATCTCTTGTCACCTTGATTTTTCATGTTCCATAGACGATCTTGGTGTCCAGAATATAATTTGAAATACAACTGATTTTATTATCCTATCCTGTATTTTTTAGTGTATCCCCCTCAAGTGTTTGAATGACTTGTTTTATCCTCAAGTCTTATTAGATTTAGGCCCCAACTATTAGCCCTTTCTTCTGAGGCTTAAGTTCTGTATTGCAATTTTTCAGGGAATGTCCTTTAGACTTGAAAGAAGCAATTTCCACTATTTGTTTTGCTGCACCGAGATGTGCGGACCTGCCTGAACTTCAGCAGGTGCAAATGTTATTTGCTGCTAAATATGGCAAGGAATTTGCGACAGCAGCAACTTATCTCTTGCCAGATTGTGGAGTTAATCGCCAGGTAACATTAACAACCAAAAGAATTAGTTGCTGGATTCTACTGGTCATGGGGAGGAGGCAAAATGATACAACTAGCGAGACATTCCTTTTGATACATTATTGTTTATTGTAGGTAATTGAACTGCTATCGATTCGGGTTCCTTCAGTTGAAACAAAAATGAAGTTGTTAAAGGAAATTGCCGAGCAACATGAGTTAGATTGGGATCCGTCTGCCACCGAAAACGAGTTCCGCAAGCCGCACGAGGATTTATTGGTCAGTCAAGGCTATTATACTTTATGGTTAAAGTCATATTCTTCATCGACTAATATCATACTTGTTTTGCCTCAGAATGGACCAAACCATGTCACAAATGGATCGTCATTGCCTCTTCCGCCACAGAAACATGATGAACATGATGATGCATTATCTTCCGACCATACGGATGAGTCTCATATCGAACCTGGTTCGGATGCAGATTTAGATTCCTTGGATCTTCCTCAAGTTCCAAAGGATTCGGTTCGGGCAACTATAGATGTCCTATCAGCCTTAGGGAATGTCTCAAGTCGACCACCTTCTGCTGCCCATGACCTGGGATTCGGTCACCCTGAGGTTACCAAGTCTATTTCAAGTGAGGATATGGCACAAGTTCCACCTGTGGAACCTGCTGTAAGTGACACAGAGCCATCAAGTACTTCCTCACCAAATCAATCCAATGCTGTTATCGCGGCAAACAAACAATTCATCCCATTTCTTAGCCCCCCACCTCTTTCTTCTTTTTCTGCCCCTCCAAAGCAAAATGAGTTTTCTGATCCTACATCGCTCTCTTCTACAAGTCAGCCAGCCCCCTCCCCATATTCAATATCACCATCTCCAAATGGAGGTGAATGTGTTCTTCCTCCACCACCATTGTCTTCTTTTTCAGACTATCAGGCTCAAAATGAACCAGCTTCCTCTCATCCGTCCTTCTCTTCCCGGGCAAAATGTGAGATAGATGTGGACTTACAGGATGTGTTAGCTGCTGCCCAGTCTGCAGCTGAAACCGCAGAACATGCAGCTATTGCAGCACGAGCAGCTGCAAACCTTGCTCAGGTTAGACTTACTGATCTCCTCGCAAAATCAGAAAATAGTGGAAATGAATCTCACGGCGAAGGCTTCGAGGAACAAACGGATTTGGCAAATCCGATCTTCCATCATCAACAGTATTCTTTCGGCAATAATGAGAAAAGTACTGACTATGGACAGGGCCAGATATGGGATTCACCAACTCATAGATCTCATGAACCTCAAAGCTCACCTGTTAGTGAGGATGAACCATATCTCTCATACCCCAACTTGTTCGCATCTAAAGACTCCGATCTCAAGTCAGATATTCACGATTGATCGAATGGTTCGATATCTTTTTATAACTCCTATTAGGGATAACAGTATATACTGCCACTTTATGTTTCTATCGTGTTGCAGTTTAAAACAGAATGAGAGGTTGTACACATCTGATGTTATACTCTATGTACGTCTAGCGAATGAATGTGACTATGTCGATGCAATCAATATTATGTGAATATCTCAAAGACTGTCTACTAGCATGTTTTCGAAAATTTAGAGAGAGAGAGAGAGAGAGAGAGAGAGAGAGAGGAGGGTAGGG